GCATTTTTTGCAAAATTATGAAAAATGTCGTTAAAAGGGGGATTAGCTGTTAAATAAGCACGTTTTTAAATCTAGAAGTTCTTGTTTTAGAAAATAATTTACTAAATTGATAAATTCAATGCATTAAAAAATAAAGCCAGATTTCGATTTTGAAATATTCTTAAATAGTCTTAACATTTTAAGCTAAAGCCTTTAAAAAACTTAAGCAATTCTTTTTTATGCATACAGTTTTAATAATATGGTGCTAGGTTGTTAATAAATATAGATTCTAATAAAATAATTCATGACCAAAACTGAGTTAAAGTTTTTGAATTAACCTCGCTTTTGGTAATAGAATTATTTTATGGGACTTGAATCAATCTTTTCTCACAAAAGATAAAACGTTTCTTTGAATATACAAATAGCTAATTTAAATTTGTTTGGTAATCTGTTTTTATTCTGTTTTATAATGAGTTGACCCACTAATAAGTTCTTTAAGTAGAAAACGATCTTTGAACACCCATTTGATAATAGATTTATGCATCATTCTAAAGAAAAAACCGCCTAACTTGGTTTATTTTATACTTCAAAATTCGTATCGCTAAGAAAGTTGTTTTCATAAAATTTATTAGATATTTGCTTGAGACGTACAAAATTTAAGGTCACGTGATTGTTTTGAAATGTAAACAATGTTTTGCGCATTAAACTAGAAAAATTTGTTTCTAAACCAGCCAAGTTTGAAAACATATTTCATAACATAGCTAGAGGTAAAGCAAACAACTTTTTGATTTTTATATGCAGAAAGGGTTGAAATTTCAATAATTTGGTGCGTATTACAAAAATAATACGATTTTCATTATTTAATAATAAAATTAAAAATATAAATGCATTAAAAAATAATTAAAAAAAAAAATAAGCAATCCGCACCAAAAATTAGATAGAATAGACATTTATTTATAAATGTTCCAAATTTCAACCATGAGGCATGTAGCTATGTTATGAAATCTTAGTTGACCCAAGACAGGTTATCCGTAAAAACCAGAAAAGTGATCCCAAATCGTTAGCAATATTTGAATATTAATATTTTTATTCCGTTTAGTGTAAATATTTATATAAAAAAAAGATAGATCTTTTATATTTTTTTATTTGAAGATGAAAGCGCTCACAGGAAAAAAAAGCTATTATTTTAAAGTTAGTGTATTTTTAAACTTTTGCGGAAATTTTTTTTTTTTTGATAAACACAAAAATAACTGTGACGCCAAGCTCGTTTTTATATTGAGTGAAACAGCCGTGTATTAATATTGTAACACTATTATGCTTAATACAGTAAAAATTGAAATATTTACTGTATTAAGCATTCTATACTTTTTAACTATTTAAAAGTTAAGAAACATTAAAAATGAGGCTATTGTCAGAAGCAGGTAACATTTTTGTTAAAAAAAGAGCTTGTTAGTTGCTAAAAACTGGATAGCAACTCTTTTTTCTCCACAATATTCTTAAAGTTTCAAATATCCTTACATAAGAGATTACTACAAACAAAATTAGGCAAAGCTATAGTTAAACGGTCTAAAATAATTTTATTTCTTCGCTTATTGCGCTTTCTTGTGTAGACTTGCTCAAATAGGTGACTTTTTAATATAAACATAAAGAATTATTATTACTTTAGTACATTGACTATCTTACAGCTTGCTGCAAAAAGGAGTGTTGTTACATCAATTATCTTATAGCCTACTGCTACAAGAGAATGTTGCTACATTGACTATCTTATAGCTTGCTGTTACAAAGAAGTACTGCTACATCGACAAAGGGTTTGGCATGGGGCAGCAATCTTTTTTCTTTTATCATTTTAAATAAAATTTCTAATGTTTAAAAAGCCTCCACTGACGAGAGAGCAACAAGCGAAACGATAAAATTATTTTAGACCGCATAACTGCAGCTTTGCCTAAAATTACATTGTGTTTGTTAAAAATTTTGTATTTTTTAGCGTGGTTTATCTATAGTTTTCATTGCCCTGTACAATAATTTTTTGATTTAAGTTATACAGTCTGGCCGGAACCGGATTGACCTAAAAATCACAAACTCCGACCGGAATTCCGGTACATCCCATCGCTCTACGAGATGAAATGTTTAATTTTCCAAAATTAGTTTTAAAAAATAGTGGCTGAATGTAATTATTTCCTCTTAAATTGTATTTATTTTTATCTTTTAGTCTGTACAAATTGTGAAAAGTAATGGAGAAGAAGTGTGTTGTTGACAAGAAAGAAGCTTCAGCTAAGACTTATTGCGATTAAAATAATTATTATTGTTGTCCAAGTCCAAAAACATCATTTTGAGATGTTTTGAACAAACAAGTTTTTTCGTTGCAGTTAAAATAATAAGTTTTTGTGTAATAGTTGAAATAAAGAATCTTAATAACTCATTAATAATTGATTTATTAAGTTTGTGTGATATACCAAACGATAGAGAATTTAAAAATACTAAGTGATATAAATTACTCCATACTGATAAAAATGGGCTTGGTACATATACCTTGAATACCGACAATGTTTTTATAGTTTAATTGATAATGGATAATAAGAAATTAAACTATGTTTGTTTAAAACACTTCTAACTTTATACAAGTTAAACTATGTTTGATTAAATCACTTCTAGCTTTATATAATATTTCTATACTTTTATCAACTTTATTACCCTAGAATTCAATTTGGTATTTTTAACTAAGGTTTGATATTTAAATTTGAAGCTTCATAAAGATTATTAATGTAAATAAGAAAGAGAAAGGCTCCGAGTATAAAGGTCTAGAATTCCCGAGTATATTTAATAAATTGGCAGGATTTACAATTATAAAACTGTTTTTGGTTACTTAAATATTCTTTAAATAAGAACATAACATTCCTTTTTATTCCATTATATTCAATTTTTTGATGGAAAATTTACGTAAATTCAATTGTATCAAAAGCTTTTGATAAATCAACGAAAACTTCTAACGTATATAATTTTCAAAAGATTCATTAATACTGCGAGCAACTTGAAGCTTGTTTAGTTGAGTTGTTATTTTTGAATCCGTACAGGGGTGGGACCGCAAAATGTGAACACTTTTCTGATTGTAATAATTAATTTTCTGTTAAATATGAACTATTTTAAATAAGAATGTCCAATGGTTGGACATTCTTATTTATAATAGTTCATATTTAACAACTCTTTAGACACTTTCTGATGAGTGAGAGAGTACAACTACATCTAACGAGAAAATAGTTATAATAAAACAAAAACGTTCACATTTTGCGGTCCCACCCCTGTATTTATTGATTTACAGTATATTATTTAAAGTAAATTGCATTATGTAAAATAAAACGTACTCTCTACTTTTAAATTTGGTATGACAAGCTATTTTTGAATGATTTAAATTTTATTGAACAATGTAACACTAGTATATCATTTAAGGTTGATACGAGTCATCGACAACATTACCATTTACATCGTCATGACCAACTAAATTTACTTAAAAAAACTTCAAATTTAAGCTCACATTTATGTCAAATGTTTTGCAACAAAAAGATTACTGAATGAAACTTAAAAACCTGTCGATGATTTTAAGTTTTGGTATATTTAATTAAAATAAATATTAAATTATTACCCTCAAAACTTAAAACTATAGGTCGACGATTTTTAAAGTCTGTTTACACTAAATATTTTTATTTTTATTGACAACTGAAATAATTTTTTTTAAATTTTAAAGGCCAATTTTCACTGAACTTTTTTTATTAAGTTTTGAGGGTAATAATTTAATATTTATTTTATACTTGAGTAAGAAATCAAAGCTCTTTGCGACAAATCTAGATTTATTTTGCGACAAATCTAGATTTACTATACTAAATCTATATTTGTCGCAAACGAGCTTTTGATTTCTTACTCACCCAAGTATAAAACTTATATCAGCATGTTAAATCCGGTTGAAATTATGATAAAACAGCTGTTAGTGAATGCGTATTTGATCTCAAGCCACGCTAGAATAATAGTTTTAAGCGTGTTTTGTTAAAAAGTATTAGTTTGAATTTATAAATTAAAATTTTTTTATAAAAAATACTTATATTGTTACATAGCGTCAGTTTGGAAGTTTTCATGAACATGAAGGAGATAAATTAAATTGAGAAGAAAAAGAAAGAAAAAAAATTCCTACCCATTTCTTCCTTTTATTCTCTTCTTCCCTCCCTCCTTTCCCCCTTCCCCCTCTCCAAACTTTGTATTAAGAACTCGAGAGTAATCAGAAGCATTGAAATATCCTGCGTCCGCCTCAGAGTATAATGAAAATAATAAAATAACAACAACAACAACAAAAATATTGGTAGTAATGTTAAAAATAATTATAATAATAACATTAAGAATAAAAGTATTAATAATAATAATAAATAGAGATTAAAGTACCATCATTTACAACAATCACAATAGGGATAAAGTAGGGGAACATGGGGCAAGATGACGAACGTTTTGAAAAACACTTATATCTTAGACAATAACTGTTCCAATAAGTAAAACTTTATCAAGAAGTGATAACAAATTATTATTCGCTACAATTGTATCAAAAAAACCTTATACAAATTAAAAATAGCTAGAGAAAAACTCATTAACATAAGTCACCTCGAATAGTCATCTTGCCCCGTAGGCGGGGCAAGATGGCGACTACAAAAAAAAGTTAACTCCATGATACTGTTACCGCCTCAAAAAAAGAGCAATATAAATTTCAGTTAATAAAATTATTAATACAAAGGGTGATTTAATTTTCAAAACAATTTAATTGTATATTTATATATAGTTATGCAAAAATAGCACCCTACTAATTAGTTAATAGCGAAATCAAACCCAACAAAATAAAGCAAAATACTTTAACGAATAATAAAATAATGTAAAGACAAAAATAATGACTAAGCTACACAAGAGTAACTTACAATACACATAAATTTGCGTTCAACATACTGGCCACAAGTTAAATGACACCAGTGGTTACAGGATTTACACATATCTCAGTCATCATCAAGCAATGGATCGTTAGGATCACCATAGATAATTTCACAATACCAACATGAAATTTCTTGAGTTTCACAAACTTTGCCAGATATTTTTATCACTCTTTTTTTGCCTTTGTCATTCTTCTTCTTTCTATCTTTATTTTCAGCTGTTATTTTAAGCTGATCCTTCTTTTCTTTAAAAACTTTCTTCAAATCTTGCTTTATCAATTTTTCTTGTTTCTTGAGTGTAGCTAATTGAACAGCAGCTTTAAAAGGCAAACTTGTTGCCACCTCGGCTTGCTTACAATTTCTCTTACGGCTAGCATTATTTGTAACTCTAGAAGCAATAGGATGAGGCCGAATATTCTCAGATGATACAGTTTTGGGCACTTGGTTCAAATCTATTTGGGTTCTATCAACATTTATATCTAGGTTCGACTGAATGCATTTTGGTTCACTACTAGCATTTGGCAACAATAAAGAGTCATTATTATTAAACAATACAGTTAATTCTGTTGTGACTGCATTAATTACAGGCTTTAATGTTGACTGTTGATTTTCAACTAAAAAACAATATATGATAAAATTATAAAATTAATAAGGTTATTTAAATTTACGTTATTTAATATTCTATTATTTAACATAATTCTAATATATTATAGATAAGCTGAAGTTATTAGCTTATTTAAATGATAAAGATACAAATTGTTGGGTTAAAGTTTGTAAATAAAAACAAACTTTTGGTTTTAAAAAACAAAAAATTCAACAGTCAAAAATAATATATAATTTACATACTCATTCCTGGTTGATTATTGGATATTTTCTGCTAAGTTGGTGCTGTGCAATCACTTGTCATCGATGGTGCAAAGTCAGTCAAAGAAAAGATCTGTGGATTGAAGGGCCAGATTCCAGTTTCTTGAAATTCTTTTCTTGCAATACCAGTTGTTGCTGATCTGTCATATGCATGTCTTACAAGTGCAGGAATCTGTGCTTCAGTGATAGGTCTACCTAGATGATTTACCATCCAGTTATCACATGCTTAACTATAGTATGTTTTGAATGGAGAAAAAAAGGTAACATCCAGAGGCTGCATTATATGGGTGGAATGTGGTGGCAATGTTAGCATTACAGTTGAATGTTTTCTGCAAAATTCAATGGCTGAAAAACTTATGTGCGAGTTATGATAATCCACAATCAACAAAACAGGATCAGCAATGGTTGGTTTTGTATGATAGGCAAAGTGTTCTAAATAATCTAAAAAAATTTCCTGTGTCATCCAACTAGATTTATGGGCAAATCCAACTGAGTCAGGTTGAGAGTTGTCCATAAAATCATTTCGCATATTTTTTCGCGGAAAAATAAAAGCAGGAGGTATATAAATTTCAACAGCATTCATGCTACAAACTATGGTTACAGTTTTTCCTCTTTCAGCAGAAACAACTTTGCCTACTCTTTTAATGCCTTTGATTGAAAATACTTTAGGGATTTTTGTTGGTACAGTGGGTACCCCACTTTCATCAGCATTGAAGATTCTTGAAGGTAAAAATTTGGGTGTTGTCAAAAGGTCTCAAAGTAAATCAAAAAATATTGCAACCTGTAGGGAGTTGAATTCTACCCAAAGATGTCATCTCGGGAATTCGCAAAGAAAAATTTTTGTGGCGTTTTAAAAATCCACTTAACCAGTCAATACCAGCTATTTTCAATTCTTTGTTAAAATTATGTAGAACATTATTAAATTCGGCAAATTAGAATGCAAATTTTCTGAGCTGCACTGAGGTTATGCCAAAAAATCTTTTGCTTAACTCAACTTAATACTCTGCAAGTAATTTTTCCATTTCAATTGAAAATATAGGACGAAACCTTCCATTGTTTATCGGAAACTGATCAGAAGACTTTTTTATATAACGCCTCAGTGTTGCTTCAGAAATTCCAAAATTTACAGCAGCTTTGTTTATGCTACAAGCATTGGAATTGTAAGCTTCAATAGCATGACACATATTCTGCATTGTCCAATTACCATTTACACCTCTGCTAGTAGCTCGGATATATATATATATATATATATATATATATATATATATATATATATTCATATATATATATGTATATATATATATATATATATATATATATATATATATATATATATATATATATATATATATATATATATATATATATATATATATATATATATATATATATATATATATATATATACAATTATAAATATTTATAAAATAAATATAGATAACATGATTAGGGTTAATAAATTTATGTTTATATTTAATGCTCATTGTATATGTATATACATATATTATACATAAAAATATATATAAATATATATATATATATATATATATATATATATATATATATATATATATATATATATATATATATATATATATATATATATATATATATATATATATATATATATATATATATATATATACATATATACAGCGGTGGCCAAAAATTAAAGACCACTTATTTTTTAGTTGGTTTCTTAATCATTAAATCAAAATTAAGAAGATTCTAATTGACATATTAATTTTTTTTTTTAATATCTTGTTAATTAAAACATACGGATTAAAATGGTATAATTTTTTAAATCTAATTCTAATTAAATAGCGTTTAACTTATTAAAAAACTGATGAATACTTATAAATCTTCTTTAAATAAATTGGACAAAATTTAACGACCACTTTCAAATCTTTAATTTGCACTTATTAAAAATAATATTCGATTATTTTTTTTAACTGTCTTAGTTGCTTATTATGTTGGCTATAAAATAAAATGTCGAAACCTGAGTTTCGATATCAAATAAACATTTATTTTTTGAATTGCAATAAGGATATAAAAATATTGCAAAAATGCGTGCAAAGATCGAAGAAAAAGACAGATACGCGGCTCTTGTATTAAAAGAAGAAGGCTATAGCATCAGACAAATAGCAGAAAGGCTCGGAAGGTCTCAGTCTTGCATTATTAACATAATTCAACGATACAAAGAAACTGGGTCAATTAATGATCGTCATAGGACTGGACGCAATAAAATTTCAAATGACCGTGATGTTCGCTCGTTAGTGAGATTAATGAAAGAAAACAGACAAGCATCATCTACAGACTTGTCTACGAAATGGACACTGTTAAATGGTCTGAAAGCAAGCCCTAGAACTGTGCAAAGGGTCCTCCACAATTCAAATTATTTATGGCGTGCTGCTGCAAAAAAACCACGCTTAAATAAAAAACAAAAATTTGCCAGGAAAGAATGGTGCAAACTACATAAAAATTGGTCAACAGATCAGTGGAGCCGTGTGGTCTTTAGTAATGAAATGAACGTTGAGGTAGACAACAGAAAAGGTCCCGTTATGTTGCGTAGACTTCCAAGAAAACGGTTCGATGAATCATGCATTTTGAAACAAACAAAACAAGGCAGTGGTTCAATAGGCATTTGGGCCTGTATGAGTGCCTGTGGAGTTGGCGTTTTTCATTTATTCGATGGTAGACTCAACAAACAAAGGTACATCGAAATTTTGGAAAACTCGCTTATTCCTAGCATTGATTTATGTCAGTTGCAAGATGGATTTATTTTCCAGCAAGACAATGCGCTTTTTTATTACGTTATTACGTTAAAATATAATGCATTTTTTCTTCTTCTAAAAGACAGAACTTTTATTTAGGCATCTGCTAGCTTGTCTTCAAACAAGTTAAAGCTTAATCACCTTACGATCAACAATTATAATCGTCAAAATGCTTACGAGTCACAGAAACAGTTTATTAAATCTGTTCAAGATTATTCTATCAAAACAAGCCAGTCTCTTGTTGATATAACTGATGATGTATTTTCTCTTAAAAGTTTACCACCTAAACATCAGTTAATGAAATGGTCCACTGAACTATCTATGCGTAATAATATTGCGAGTGGAATCCATTATATAGAATGCAATCTAGGAAAGTTCATGTATGAAAGTGTTCAGCTTCTAATAGCTCTTCATAGGGTTCAAGAAATGAAGCTAGCAGTTGATCAAGAGTTAACATGGTTTAATTCTCCCAAGTTAGTACCAAAATCAATCAGTATAAAATCAATCAGTATTTTTCCTTCTCAAAATTTAATTGAAAAATTCAAAGAATTGCTTTTTAAAAGGCCAGCTAACAATGAAATATCAGAATATGGGATGAGTCCTAATACTTTAGCTGAGTTATGTTGTGCAAGATGGCTTTCATCAGATCATATGCTGCAAATTTCTAGCATTTTAAACTTGATCCAAAGCCATTCAAAGGTAATTTATTTTAACTTTTTAGGAAATATTGAGCATTATGTATCAAGAATAACTGTTGTCCCTGAAAAGTTGATCTTTATTATAAATGTTGGAGGAAACAACGAGAAAACATTTTCTGGTACAAATTTAAATGCAGGTTGCCACTGGACACTTGCAGTTTATGATAGTATTGAAGGTAATTTTTACTATGGAGATTCTTTAGGATGGTCAGCTCCAGATGATTTTTTAACTAAAGTTAAATTATTAATCAGAAAATTGTATCACATAAACGAAAGCTTTAATATCACTTATTGTCATGATCCAAAGACACATATGAATGGAGTTAAAAAATGCAGTTCTTTTTGCAAAGAAAATTATCCCATGCAGACATGTGGAAATATTTGTGGAGTTTATTACCATAATAGTATGTGCAATCTCTTGCCTAAAATATGATTACTTTAAATGTATGATAAATAATGATCAAATAGGGACCAATAATTACATTTTTTAAAAAGACCCTACTAAATATTCTAAATATTTAAGATTAGTTTTAATGTCATGGTTTATCTCAAAAGAAATAAATCTTGATTTTGTTGTTCCTACCACTATTGTGCGTGAAGTTTCTACCAGTATTGACGTAAGTGATACTAATTCTGATGAAGATGCCATATATACAAATGTTTTCGAATCCAACTTCAATAAAAAAAATATGGCCAGTGTAAAAAATATCGATTTATCTTTAAAATGCGCAATTTGCAATATCTCTTTCACCCAAAAAAAAAAACATGCTGCGGCATATGAAAAATAAACACAAATCAATTGATGAAGCACAAGAAAATATTCAATCAGGAAATTCTTTTTGTCTTCAATGTGGATTTAAATGTAGGCGAGTTATGGATTTAAGAAAACATTTATCTACAGTTCATTTTTATACTTTTCAGAAAGAAAAATTATCATTTGCTAATTATCGAGGTAATGCTTTAATGTTTTTAAAAGTAGAAATAGTTTAGAGTAAATATGCCATTTATTTTGCATCCAACTTTTTGTGTTCTTGCTTTGTTATTTCTTTAATTGGTAACTGATTATGTGTCGTGAAAATGATTTTGAATTTGTGGTAGTTCCAAACATAATTACTTACATAAATAAAAAAATATATTTAGTCCAGTTGCTGTTGATGTTACAAATTTTTTTTTTATATAAGGTGTTAGACAATTGCTTTCAAATTCATTCTCTCTTTTTGTCTTGTAGTAATTATTTGATTCTTGTAAATAATTTTATTAGAATTTGAAATGTGGAAATCAGATGTTGAAAGTAATAATGCAACACAATATGTTTTACCTTCTGGTGAAAAGATTGATAAAGATGGTAGGAAAGTATCATACTATCAATGCAACAGAAGTGGACTTTATAAATGCATGGCGAAAAAAAGACTAGTTAAAAGTAGTGGTATGTATCAAGTAAATAGCGATATTTAGAAGAAGAAAAAATGTTTGTATTTGCCACAAATTTTAATTCAGTGACCATTTTTTAATGACATTTTTGTTAAATACAGGGTTCATTTAAAATAATATTAGAACACCTAATGTAAATATCTAAAAACTATTAAACATGTTTAGTTTTTGTGTGCTATAGGTCACTTTGTTTTAAAAATCTTTTAAAATTTTACAGATGATGATTAATTAACTTTGCTATGTTCAGATTTTATGTACTATATATATGATATACAAATACTATTTTAATCTATATGATCACAAATATCTATTTAATAGGTACTCGAAAAATTGCTAAAAATTGCACGTCCACACTTAAAGTTACCCAAACTGTAGATGGACATGTTATTGTTAATGCTTGTTATTCACACTATGGACATAAAAATGAAATTCAACATATTTCTTTATCAAGCGTTCAAAGGCAAGAAATTGCTTGCAAACTTAAAATGGGTGTAACCAAAGATAGAATTCTAAATGATATTAGAGATGAAACAAGTTGTGTTCAATCCAGGTTACATTTAACCCAGCGTCAAGATATCAAAAACCTAGAGAAAGCATTCAACATTAATTCTATACAACTTCATGCCAATGATCAAGACAGTGTTGCAATTTGGCTAAAAGAATGGCAAATGAAGACATATAGTCCTGTTTTATATTATAAACTACAGGGTGTGTTAGATACATGTAATACATTTAAAGAATCAGACTTTATAATTATAATGCAAACAGAGCACCAAAAAAAAAATGCTGCAACAGTTTGGAAAAAATGGTGTTTGTATTGATTCTACGCATGGCACAAATGCATATGATTTTCTTCTCACTTCAATGTTAGTTGTAGATGAATTAGGTGAGGAGCAACCTGTTGGATGGTGTATAGCAAACAGTGATTCATTTAGATTTAAAAAATTTTTTTTTATAAAATTACAAGAACATTCTGGAAGTTTTTGTCCAAAATGAATAATGAGTGATTTGGCATCCCAATACTATGAAGCATTTTGTGATGTTTACTTATGTGCGCCTCTAAAATTCTGGTGTACCTGGCATGTTGATAAAGCATGGAGAGAAGAATTGCATAAAAAAGTACACAATCTTGAAATGGAAGCAGATATATACAAACGAATAAGATTTGTTTTACAGCTTAGTGATAAAAACCTATTTGATGACTATTTAAACTCATTGATGGGTTACTTGCAATCATCAGTTTTGACACAAATGTTCGCTGAATACTTTGAAAAATATTGGGTTAATAATAAACATATATGGGCATTCTGTTATCGTATGGGTCATGGCATAAATACTAATATGTATATGGAATCTTTCCACAAAGTTTTTAAGTACAGTTACCTGCAAGGTAAGCACAATAAAAGAATTGATAATTGCTTGTTCGCTTTGTTAAAGTTTAACAGAGACAAAGTGTATGAAAGAATAAAAATAACAAAGTTAACAAAAGAAAAGATTAGCTATAAATTAAAAATGGTGCATTCTAGACACATTGCAAGCCTACAGCTATGTGAAAGTTTTACTAAGGACGATAAAGGAGCCTGGCTAATACCATCTGAAACAAATGCTTGCCATTACAGAGTTGTAATACACCAAAAATTGTGTGACATCACTGAATGTTTCACTAAATGTCCAGAATGTAAAGTTTGTACTCATTTATATAGTTGTGACTGTATGGATTTCTTAACTAAAAATATCCCTTGTAAGCATATCCATTTAGTGCATCGTCATAGTAATCCTAGTATACTTACAACAACTATACCTCTCGATTTCCCAACATCTTCAATTGAATTGGACTGCAAAATTATAAAAGGTTGTGAACCTGCAGATATTAACATTTTAAAAGATAGCATTATTAGAAGTTTAAAGAATCTAGCTAATTTAGTATCCCATTAGTTCAATATCAGATGAGGATAGTTTGCAGACATTACAGAAAAATATATCATTAGCTAAAAATACTTTCTTAAGCCTAACAACAAATAAGCAAAATGAATTACATATCAAAAGTAAGGTTCCATCATACAAAACAATAACTAAGCAGCCAACCTTTTATTCAACAAAAAGAAAAAGAAAAACATCAAACATTAGGCTAGCAAAACCTTCAGCTACCGAAATAAATAACATATTAGATATCTCCAACTGGACCATGAAAACAAAAGGTTTTTATATATATATTTTTTTTGGTTTCCAAATATCTGTTTCTTTATATATATTTACATTTTTATAACAATTATAAAGGTGCGTGTGTATATATATCTAATATACACACAGTCTGAGAGCGGAGCTGCTACTCTAAACAACATATTGCAAGAGCTATCGGTTTTTGGGCAAGCTATTGGTTTTTTTACAAAATACATTAAATACAAAACTTAATATTACTCTTGTTACAAGCATTTGCTTGTAACGCATTTAGCTTGTAAATGTTAACTGAATATATGCATAACAAGTGTTAAAAATCGTACCTTGAAAAAAATCCTTAGAAGAACATTTTCTTTATATTTTTATTTTCTTTTAGGAAAATTAGGCATTTTTTTAAGGAGTGGAAGCTAAAGGCTTCTTTATATATATATATATATATATATATATACATATATATATATATATATATATATATATATATATATATACATATATATATATATATATATATATATATATATATATATATATATATATATATATATATATATATATATATATATATATATATGTGTGTGTATATATATATATATATATAAATATATATATATATATATATATATATATATATATATATATATATAAATATATATATATATATATATATATATATATATATATATATATATATATATATATATAAAGTCATATTCTTGTTATGCGATATGTTTATAATATATAAATATATATATATATATATACATACATACATATATATATATATATATATATATATATATATATATATATATATATATATATATATATATATGTATATATATATATATATATATATATATATATATATAAATATATATATATATATATATATATATATATATATATATATATATATATATATATATATATATATATATATATATAAAGTCATATTCTTGTTATGCGATATGTTTATAATATATAAATATATATATATATATATATATATATATATATATATACATACATACATACATACATATATATATATATATATATATATATATATATATATATATTCATACATACATATATTCATACATACATATATGTAAATATATATATTTTTTTTCTTAAAGAAACTCACTTACAGTCACCAAGTAAATTGACCAAAGCAAAACTTGGTACAACATCCAATAGTAATATAAAAACAAACATATTGTCGATATGTATTTCTAATTTAAATCTTAGTTCTTTATAAACCATTATGTACAAACCGTCTAAAGTATTTAAAAACCTTTTTCATATCACTAATTGTTTTGACTTTTTTCTAAGTATACATTTACATTTTTAATTACATATCACTGTATATAATTTTTGTGATTTACTTATGGAATTTTGCATTTGTAAGTTGCCATATTTTTAGAACAAAGAAAAGTTTTAGAATTATTTGCCTACAAAAAACCAACTATCAGTAACACATTAACTATAAAAGATTTACGTCTGGATGACAATTTTCCTCATCCAGAAATACTAAATCATGATATTTCAATTGTCAAAGAATTAATAAACCCAGATGTGTTTGAAATGGTTCAGACAAAATGTAAGTTTTTTAAGGGGGCACGTTTTTTTTTTTTTTATCAATCAATATTTTTTTATTTGTCTCAGATTCTACTGGGATTTTTACTGGCAGCTCTAGATTTAAATAGGTTTCTCATTCAAGCTTGGAGAAACCTATTTGAAAAGCTTACGTAAATAAATTTTTTTCCAGTTTTACTTGTGTGTATAAATTATGCATTATATCAACATGTTTTTATAGTGCTTCACCTAGAACAAAGTTGGAGTTGTTCTATATGCAGTACACCTCAGTATAAGGATATGATTGAGTGTGAAGTTTGTGAGACGTGGTACCATTGGTAAGTAACTACACTTTTTTTACAAAGTTGAATAAGCATAAAATAAATTGACCTACAACTTGGTTTTACTTTTTACAAATGTCATAACCTAATAATATTTTTAGGATTTGTGTGTCTTTATCTGAAACAGTAGGTGATGTGCATTGGATATGCCATAAATGTGATTCAAAAAAAGTTGTGCGTGTGGAATAAATATACAAAATATTGATTGAGTTAAGTTCACTTGTTTATTTGTGCTGCTTTTTTTAATTCTTTCAGCTTCTTTATAGTACTTAAATTTCGAGTTTATGTGTGCATCATTAAGTTATGTTACAAATAAACTGTTTTATTAAAATCTTCTAATTATAATCCAAATCTTAATATAATTTATTTTTCTTATTCTACTGACTAACAGCTTGCAGTTTGATAAATAAAGTAATAAATGTTTTGAAAATCTCAACTTCAAATAACTAAAAATGTTTTCAAAGTCATGTTGAGTCCAATTTCTCATGAAAAATTATCTATAACTAGAACATTCTCTAAATTAAATTATTTATTTGTCTGATTAACTTTTAAATTACCCCAATGCAAATGTTTTTAACAATGCCTCATTTATTCTGAATGCAAATATTATTGTTTAAAGGTGATGATTTTTAAAGAAGATGAGGTTAACATTGCATGCAATTGTTACAGTTTATTTGCATATGTTTTAAATTTATACTTCATTTTTAGTTTATGCCAAAAATTTGATAGCGGCATAGACATTTATACCTTTCTGATATTAGCATATGCATTGGCATTTAGTATTATGCTATTTGTGACACTGGTATAAATTGCCCTAATTGTGCTGTTTGTGTCATGGTGTTAAATTTTTTTTGACACAACACGCTTATACCTTTATGGCATTGGTAATTTAGTATTATATAGCCTTTTGTGTAATCAGTATAAGTCGTTAGGGTTATCTTATATTTATATTCCTTATATAAGATATAGTTAAACACTAGAGCAAATAAATGCTGTGTTAAAAAATGAAGGAATTTTGCAACTAAAGACAATTGCAATCCAGTTAAATAATAATATTTGCATTGTCCTAGAAAAAAAAAATCTGTTTTAGGATAGGATTTTAAATACTATTGTGCATTGTGAATAATCTAATAAGTTAATAGTTCCTATGACTCCCCGACCCACGTTTATAAAATATAAGTAATATTCATTATGTACAATAGTATTTAAAAAAAAGAGTTTTTTATAAACCTGGTAGTAGGGTGACTGTTAAAAAATTTTTGAAAAAAATTTAAAAGCTACTTTTATCATTTGTCTGATATAATACTAAAACACTACGTTTGAAATTTTTCTTGAATATAAAATGATTATATGGGTAGCTCCAGACCATAATTATAATTTATATTATAATAATTTGACGGGGTCTTTAATATTTTGAAAATAAAAGTGCTTTTAAAGTATGTCAACTTGGTACTCAAAAGAAGTGAAATTGTATAAAAATTTTAAAAATAATAATCAATTTACGTAGAAATTATTTTTAAAACTTGAAATTATGACTTTATTTTCAGCTTAAAAACAATAGTTTTTATGCATTAATGTCTAAAAAAGTTATCTTTATGAAAAGCAAAAGTTATTGCTCAAAAAAATTTTAAACCTAGTCTATTAGTATTATATACATAATGTTTTTGCTAAACAAGTTTAGCAGATTTTTTAGAGTGAAGCACTTGCAACAATTTTGTAGCAGTGGAAGATTTTATACAGCCATGTGTATTCTAAATATTTTCGAGAAACGTAAGTGTTACTTAAAAGATTTATTTTACATTTACATTTGAAAAAGTATTATTACAACTTTATTTGATAATATTTTGCTTCAAATATGATTTTAGAGAAGAAATAATTGAAAGTGAATAGAATTAACCAAGCATATATATATGATAAATCATTTAAGTAGATATTACAAGTTTTGAAAAGTTGAGATGAACGTGTAGATAAAATACTATCCGTATTAATTTAAAGGAAATATTTTGAAATAAATATAAAGTATTGAATTATTATTAATTTCTGAGAAAATCATTTTATTATAAGTAGCAAAATTTTGATTTGTGATATCTAAACTAAGTTTGTTTTCATTGCCCTGAAAAATGCAAATTTTGTAGATAGAACATTTTTGCTCTGAGGCGACGATATGGTATTATTTAAAAAACAAAAATTGTTTATGATTTAGCTAAGTTGCTGTTGAAAGCGTAATTTAAGTTATGGGGGAAACGCTATTTTTCAATTTAAAGTAGAGGAAGGAAAAATTCTCAGATCAATATAATAGTGCAGGTAAAATGTTCGAGGAAATACCAAATCTGGCAAAATTTTAAAACATATTAATTGCTGTGTGGCGAAAATCATCAGTAAAAAATTAATGAAAACCATCAGATTCGTAATCGCCAAGGTGATAAAAGTATAACTAGGTTCAGCACATAAAAATGCAACGGCAATATATTTATATATACACATATATATTAGCAATTCCGCGATAGTGACAGTCACAACGTTTGACAATATTTAAGTTATTAAAAATGAATCAAAAACGGAAATGACTTGAAACTTTCAAGAAATGTGAAATACTATCATATAATTTTGTACGTAAAAGTTACAGCATTAAAGTCTTCAACTTTTTTCTAAAATTAAGTAAGTAGTAAAAAGTAGCGTGACGGTCTTAACGCTTACTTTTCACCACTTCTGAACAAAACAACTTTGTCAGACATAATGCAGCAAACGGCATGGTAAAAAAAAACATTTTGGTGTGTGTATTTAGCACATATAGATGTCATTATATGTTGAGTTTCATAGTTTTTACTTGAGGTTTTGCAAGGTTTTTTTCTCTCGTAACGAAAAATCCAATGCTTAAAAACAAGAAATATAACGACACAATCAATAATGTAAAAACATTATAAATAATTATTAGCAACCATATAAAATATGTTTAAAAAAGTGCAATAAAACATTTTCAATTTTTAATAAAAGTTTTCAATTATGAATATACGGTAAGATTTTTAACACTACCCAACAGGACTGTAAATAAGCGTCAAAACACCTTTGTACGACCCTTGGAACTTTAAAACCATACTATGGTATGATAAAATGATTTTTTTAAAGTTTTTGCTTAAAAGTATTTTAAAATAGTTTTGGAGTTTAGCATGTGTCATAACTTTTTCGTTTTTTTCAATATATGTATATATATATATATATATATATATATATATATATATATATATATATATATATATATATATATATACATATATTGAAAAAAACGAAAAAGTTATGACACATGCTAAACTCCAAAACTATTTTAAAATACTTTTAAGCAAAAACTTTAAAAAAATCATTTTATCATACCATAGTATGGTTTTAAAGTTCCAAGGGTCGTACAAAGGTGTTTTGACGCTTATATTTTTAAAATACTTTTAAGCAAAAACTTTAAAAAAATCATTTTATCATACCATAGTATGGTTTTAAAGTTCCAAGGGTCGTACAAAGGTATTAGTGATAAATATCGCGTGAAAAAATGAACCTTATCCAGACTGATAAGGTCCATTTTGTCTCAAATATCGTTCTACGGGGAGGTTGGCAGCAGATAAGAAAGGTGGAAGACCGCGTTCCACCACTTCTAGAGAGGATTCTATGATCGTCAGATCCGTCAAGAAGGATCCCTGGATATCATCAGTCGAGTTGCAAAAGCAAATAGAGCTGCCTGTATCGGACCGAACAATCAGACGACGTGCTGTTGAAGCCGGATTGTTTTCTCGACTCCCTGCAAAGAAACCGCTGATTTCACTAAAGAACCAGAAGAAAAGCTGAAAGAAAGCTGTTTGCTACATCTCATATTGACTGGAATGTGCAGAAATGGCGAACTGTCCTGTTCAGTGATGAATCGAAGTTCAACATCATTGGGAGCATTTGCCGTGTAAGTCGACCGGCCGGAAAACGCCTCGATTTACGTTAATTTTATAAAATTTTTAAAAAATTAAAAAGATTATTAAAATAAGGCGAAACTAAATTGCGAATCTTCTGCTTAAAAAAAATTCCTATGATATATTAATTTATATAAATTTCTTATTATATTCAAGGTACTTCTTTGCACGATCGAAGAAGTTTTTCAAATTGGTATGTCTATAACATTTGCGAGCATGTAAATCACGATGTCGCATGCATTGTTCGTTTCTGCATGGTTTTTCATATGGAAATTTAGAAAATAATGAGCTAATTTTAACTTGTAACTGTGTTTTTAAAAATAAAAAAAATTTGTTGTACACAAATTTTCTTTTTTTATCATTTTTCACGCAACTTTTAGAAGTTATGCAATCTAAAGCGTTGTTGAAATCAGGATTGCTGATATTTTTATTTGTTGAGTAATTAGAAAAGTTAATATCTTGAATTGAAAAATTCACTAATATTAATTTTAATAGATTATTTATGATTTTTGAAAAATAAACTTTTCTTGGAATAATGCAAATAGTTACAAAACTAAATGTAAATTTAATTTTTCGATTAACTAATGAATATAAAGTTTAATGTAGTTTTTTGATGAGGGGTCGTCCATTAAATACGTCACGCAATTTTTGACCCTTTTTAACCCTCCCTCCCCTCCCCACCTCCTCACCTTTGTTACAAGAAGCAAGTTGTCACAAAAGCACCAAGCCCCTCCCCCCCCTTATAGCGTAACGTAATGACCCAAAATCATTTAGTAACAAAAAAAAATTCAAAACTAGCTATACTCAAGGTTAACAATTTTGATATCAACTTTTTTTGTAATTGATGGAAGTTGAAAATGCGCTTTTTAATTTTTTCCTTCTTGCAATTGGTGAATATTAAAAAAGCAACAAGAGTTTAATTTTTGTTAGCATTTTAACATATAAATAAATTTGCAGAAAAAATAAATTCATTTAGGTAACAAACACTTACATGCACACACTTAACCATTTTAATTTACCTTAATTTTATTGTTTTTTTTACAGTATAATATTAGTTTTGAAAACTCAGACAAAAGAAAATTTCTAATTTTGCCAACTCTAAACTTCAAAGCTCACTTTATGGACTTACAGTATTAGATTACTTAGTGTTACATTTTATTAAAAAAATTACACTTTTTTGAAATGAGCTAAACTTGATATATATTGCATCGACAAATTAACTTTTTATTGACAAAGAATTAATGAAAAAGAACACATCAAGTTGTATGCACTACACCTTTTTTATAGAAGTAATCATTTAGACAGTTTAATAAGATTTTTTTTTGCTAAAAGTCTTTTCACCAAACAGTTTTTTTCATCAAGATTTACTAAGTCATGGCTCTAATAAGGTAATCACAAGCATTACTCTGATTGATGTGACGTGCAGCAAATCTTCATCATCCGCATCTTAGACTTCGTGTATAACTGTTTGTAGTGAATTATATAGATTTAACTATCATTTACTTTTGAATTTTACTTCTAAAAGATAACCATATAAAGAATACATAAAAATTGGCAACACCTTTGCAAAATTTTATACAAGCTTAACACAAACACTTAAGTCTATAAACAAAAATTAAAATAGATGTTTGCTCTATAGTTATAAATACTCTCGAGTCCTAGATAAAAAAAAGGTTTATTAATTTTTGGGAAATTTTCCCACCCACCCTAAGCCTAATAAGACACACCCCCCCCCTCAAATTCTAACCCACTCTTTTATTACCTATTTATTTATACCTTTAATTTGCCTCTTTTGTATTAAGAATTCGAAAGTAGTTATAAATTTATAAATTTAAATAATAGATAGTGAAAGATTTTTAATTTAGTATAACAATAACAACAAACCTAATTAACATATTGTTTAACATGATCACAATCAATAATATGAGAGCTTTTAAGTTTCAATTAGCTCACTCTATTGTGTTATTGTTTATTTTTTTTTAAAGTTTTTAAAAAAAAAAAAAGTGTGTTTAAGATAAAGTTGATATAGTAACAACATTTATTTTATTGAAGTAGGTTTCCTCATTCGAAAAAAGTAAAAGCTGTATACGAAGATAATTTAATTTAGTGAAGTAGAACCAGAGCTATTAATAGAGCTCAGTTAGACAATTCTCCTATTGTTTTTTAATGTTGAAAATGTGCCATCAGAGCTTGTGTGATGGGTTTAAGATGTTAAAAAGATGTTAAAAAAGTTCTCACGACTATGTATGAAAATATCACAACAAATGAAAACAAAAGAGAGAGTGATAGTTTGAAAGTAAAGGTTAGTGTGCAGCATTGTTCAGTGATACACCCTTGGTTTTGGTAACCCTCTTGTAATCTATTTGTAAAGAGTTTAGACTTGTCTTAGCATAAAAACTAATTTATGTAGTTGAAGAAGAATTAATATATAAAGTGTTTAAAATTTTCAGTCTTAACAAGATGGAATTGAAACAAAAGAGCTAAGGATTAACCTAAGTTAAGAATGACCAAGTAAAAATATCTGGGAAATAGGCTTGTGGAGTGTGTAGGAAGGTTACATTTAGTGAGCAATGAGTTCATAAAATAATGTACTTTAAGTGCTTTATACACAAGGAGCATTTAATAATTTTCAGAAAATTTTCCCTAACCCTGACCCTAATCCTAACCATGTAGATCCTCAAGAGTAAGTCATCCACCATTAAGGTTAATAGAAGAAGATATGTGAAGAACCTTACTTAATATAAACTCATATATTTTATGGCTGCAGAGAATGTTGTGATTTAATTATTCATTGTGTTATTTTAGATTAAAAAAACTTATTAGACTAATAATTGTTGTGATTATTAATACAAGTGTTTTCACTCATAAATTAGGAGATTGCAACATAAAGTTGAAGGCCAAACAACATAATGTTATAGAAAGTTTTTCCCATAAACTGTAGTTTTAAAGAGAGCATTAATAAAGCAGAGCAGAAAAAATTTAAAAACTTAAATAATTTTTTTTCTCTTAAATGATAGACTGCCTGCCCAAACCAAACCGTCAGTCGATGTAGCAGCACTCCCTTGCGAGTCAGGCTATTTGTCAGTCGATGTAGTCGATGTAAAATTTTATAAATATATATATATATAAAATTTTAAAAAAACTTATTAAAATCTTTTCTACAGTCTGTTTCTCCTTCAGCAGGTTTATTAGGTTAAAACAGACTGTAGAGGATATTTAGATGAGTGTTTTTACTAATCTAAGCCAAGAATATTTTTTAAGTCACCTGCAGTGACTTAAAAATTACCAATGGAAAGAAGATTTTGGTACAGTTCGGGATGTTGCTCAATGCAATGATTTATCATGTTATTCTCTTTTGCAAATTTTCTGACGGATATTTTGTTAAGCTTGGAATTGATAGTGGTAAAGGTTTTCTCAAGTTTTATCTAAGCATTGTTGTACTGCATTAAGAGCAGATAGCAGCTTACCACCTCAAAATTAACCTCTTATTCAAAAGAATAGAAGAAAGACGCTGATTAAGAGAAAAACTCTTGTTGTGGTATCAGAAAATTTGCCAGGAACTTACTCCAACATTGAACAAATCTGATCATTGAATAATGCAAATTGCGTTGAACTAATTTTTCCTTGCAAACGTAATGTAAACGTAAACTTAAAAACATTAAGCACTTAAATTTTAGAATACACTAACTTACATAGTGTATTTTACAGTTAGAGTGCTCAATGTTTTTTAAAGACATATATTTAAAAAAAAAAGATCTGGCCAGTAAGATAATATTTGTTGACCTAATAGTAAGATACAATTTGATTATAGAAAACTACATCATTTAAAAATTTAATTTAATTTTAACATTTAACTTTATTAGTTAATAAAACAATTTAATAAAGAATCATTAGTTAAACAATATAATTTTATGAAGCATATGAATTTAATTTTAATTTTATTTTTAACCAACAAACCTCTGATTGAAAGTATTGCCATAGTTTAGAATGTAAAAGTATTGGCTTAGTAGTAGCGTGTAAGAAATTGTGTGTTGCTTTGTTATTGAAAATGTATAATAATACATGTTAGTTATTGTAAATGTATAATACATTTACAATAATTATACAAATAATAATACATTTACAATAATTACTCTGAGTGTTACACACTGGTTAATTATTAAATGTAATAATGTAATAGGTAAATGTAATAGGTAAGTGTATTATAATACACAGGGTAACTATGTAACACACAGGGTAACTATTGTAAATGTATTACAATACATTTACAATAACAAAACATATTATTACACAATCAATGTGTGAATAAAACACACTGTATTTTATGAATTTAAGAAAATAAAAATTAATTAATAAAATTAAATTAATAAAAATAAATAACATTTTTATTTACACATTGAATGTATAACAAAAAATAATATAATTTTATGTTTTACTCTCTGTACATGTTTAACTTAACACTCTCAGTATATGTTTTACTTAAGAATAATATACAAAATAAATTAACAAAGTTAGTAAACTATAATACTATAGACAAATTAAAAACAATAGCGATAAATAAGATTTATGTAAATAAAACCTACAATCGAAGACTTACAGGAATGGCTCCCTAATTTGATTGGTCAAAATATTTGCTCCGATCTAAAAAATATATTCATAATATTTCATATACATGTTTCATATATAACATATACAAGTCACGATATCCGGCAAACGAGAAAAAGTGTTTTTCGGACTTCGTAAAACAAAATTTTTTCATCCAATCAAAATTGGGAGCCATTCCTGTATTTAACGGCTCCTGTGTTTTTATAGACAAGCCATTCCAGTGACGAGTTAGTTGACAACTGTCTGATGATCTTGTGCCTTGTTTTGAAATTCGGGTTTCTAAAAGTTCGAATAGATACGCAGGAGATTTAAAGTTTTATATGTAATAACTGATATTTTATAAACTATTTGTTGATGGCTTGAAATTTTTTATCGAAAATTTTATCCCGGACCGTTGAAATTTTTGGTCCGGCCGGATAAATTTTTGCGATAATTTTGGTCCACCTTGAAAAAAATGATCCGTGATAATATTTCAAAAGTTTTGAAAACGGACCAAAATTTTTAGTAAAATTTTTGGTCCGTGTAAATCAATTTTTGATTTTTTAACTTAAATTTATAAATTGATAAAAAATTTAGACATAATAAGTGTAAAATAGTAAAATAGATATGATCATAGTTTTTTAACAAGTTGTTAAACCTTTCTTTAGGTTTTATGAAATCAATTTCTCCAAAAAATAATGGTTGGTTCATTTATACTCTATGATCTTTCATAGCTTTTTCATATTTAATAGATC